GATGGTGTGTTTAGGGCTATGTGGTTTTTTTATTGGGAATTTCACATTTTAAATTCTGATTTGTACAAATATTTGGGAAAACATTTATGATTTAATGCCATTGTATCTCTGGCTTAATGTTTAGGGTTGAAGATGATGTGTTCAGGTAGATGTGCAGTGTTAGTCTGCAGCTATAGATAACACATTACAGGAAAAAAAAAAAAAAACATCTCTAATTTAGCGGCTGGGGTTGCCAGAATTTTACTGTATAAAAAAACTTTACTGCATTAATGCAGTTAAATATGGTACAATCCTTATTCATACTGTAAAATTCTGGTGTCCACAGCTGCCGGTATTTTACCGTAAATTAGAGATGGGCTCTTTTTTTTTGTGCACTGTCTTCCACATGTTTGCTGTGTCTCCTATGTGGTTGTGCATTTGTTTCTTGTCAAGGCACTGAAAAGAACATAATCAACAACAACAAAACAGGTTTTAGTTTCTGACAGTTTAACAAAGAATCAACTGACTCAACAAAAATATAGTCTAAATCATTGATAACGGGGCTAAAATTTTCTACTTAACTTATTTTTTTTTCTACAATTTTGCCACAATGAACCTGCGAGAAAGGAAAAACGCCGATACTCCTCAGTGGAAAAATGTCATGCATGATTCATCCATTACTGACAAACATGTCAGCTCCTGCCTCTTTGGTCCTGATGCACTTAAACTGCTACAAGGTGTCCTTTATGGCCCAGAAATGACTTGAGGTCATCTGTCATTAAACTAAAGTGTGCCACAAAATGAGTATGGGCTGTGTTTGCTCCAGACGATAAAAGCTGTTTTTTTTAATGGTGCCTGTCTTCACTTTTGCAGAATGTCCTGGTGGGCTGACAGAGTATAAAGACAACAAATTATATTGGTTGTTAAAGTTTTTGAAAGATAAAGCTAATGTATATTTCCAATTTTAGAGCAATAGGATACATAACTCAAAATCTCAACCTTTCCAAGAATTTATTTGTAATTAATGCTCTTTGGTACTATTTTTTTTTTAATGCAGAAGTGACTTCATATGATTACAAAAAAAAAAACTGACAAAGAGTGATGATGACAGTGTTTGAGCAGAAGACTGTGAATTACCTGTTGGATGAAAAACGATCATGAGGAAAGCTGGGCAAAAAGTCAAACTTTTCAAGGCCAAACTAGATATTAAAGCAAAAGAGCTAAAACTCAAATTCAAAATCAAATTTAGGTCAACATGGGATTTAATGCTGTTTGACGCGTTGTCCCATCCAAAACTGACATCACACCGTGATTCACACTGACTGTAGCTCTGTTTCTTAATGTCATCATGGGGAGAAGGTGGCTGCATTTACAGAGCCAAACAAAAGTCCTCTTTGTCCCTTCGTCCACATCTGTCCAGAATCACCCCCCCCCCCTTAATAAGTGAGGTTAGTCTCTGGAGTTGACGGCATAAATATTAAACTGTCAGATTCTGTCTGCTGGCAGAACGCTGCGGCGTGAGACATCTCTGAGATCAGAGAAGAAAAAAAAAACAACTGTCTTTCTGTTGAGTCTCTAGACCAGGTCAGACCAGAGAAGAAGCAAAGAAAGCACCGTAACATTCATTCGTACCTGCTGGAGCCTCATCAGAGTTCTTTCTTTTTAATATTTGCTGATGCTTCTTTGCCACTGTTATAGATTTATAGATTGGTTCCAGCACACTGACATGCAACAAGTGGATTTTAGGTCTTCCCTCCAAACGTATTTGCCAAGTGTCATGATGTGGATGTTTAGACAGGTTTTTCAGCTGTGATACATGCAAACAGAGGTTGGACTGTTTTGGAGATACGTGATTGTTTATAAAACGCTCATGAGATGTGATTCAGTCAGCAGCATTCTTAATGTCAAAACAATAAAACTCATCCAATGGCATCATAGTCGATCAATCATATTTTGTTATTTCAAAAGTGACAAAAGCTGAACAGAAAACCATTAATCCAGCTGTACACCCTTTAAGCTGTTTCACATTTCCACATCATAATCACAAACTTTGATAAATGTCATAATGATTTCATATGACATACCGATACAGTAAGGAAAATCGCTGTGAAGCAGAATGGAGTAACATAAAGCTAATATTGGTTGGCTAATTAGCAGTGCTCTGTTAACCAAAAAAAAAAAAAATGCTTTACGTTTTTAAAATACCGTCCTTACTTTCAAGACTTTCTTTTTACTGTTGAGGTTTAGATTGTATTTGTATAAAAAGAGAAAAGCTCCTAAATTTGCTTTGGGAATTGTCTCTATTGCAAATACTGGTAAATATACTGAATTTATGTAGCACTTTTCTAGTCGTACCAACAACTCAAAGAACAGGTATGTGTCCAACAGTCACATGCACCCAAAAACACTAACAAACATTCACATAATGATCTGCATACCAGTCGGCCACTTTAGGTTATGTTCCTTGCCTTTGGACACACTGACATTTGAAAGCTGGAAACAATTCCTCAACTTTTGGTTCGCAACACAACTACTCTTACCACTGAGCCCCGAACGCCCCAACTTCAGTTCTGCTCAACTGGAATAAGTTATATGTCAGTACGCAATGTGTTTGAGTCTGTCTTCAGTATTCACATTTCAAGTTGAGAACTTCTCGCTTAAATTTTACAAGGCAATACTTATTCTCAGTATTTGTTACACACCACTAATAGTATATAGTGATTATAAGAACTGGAGGATTAGAAGTACTTTTCTGCTGCAGTCACCCCACCTGATCCTGAGCACCTTCAGATAATCTCCTGCTGAAAAGCGAATCTACAGAGTTAGGGTAGTGCAAGAATGTTTTCCTGCTCTCATTTTGGATGAAACGCGCTGCTAGGCCTAATGATTTTCCAGACAAAGCCTGAGATTGTGTCTAAGGAAATGTTCTGTAAGCAAATCCATCACCGATGAACTTTTCAGATGTGGATGATACCCTGAGAAAGAGAAATACAGCTGTCCTGACGGGCATAAAACCTAAACAAACTCCGCTGACAAGATGGAGAGCTGTGCAAACAGAAGATTAGAGGGGAGATGAAAGAAAGTGGAAGCTGCTTCAGTCAGCTGCTGCCAACACTCTGTGCTTTGTTAGGTTTCTGTATCCTGTAGATTTAGCAACTTGAACTCAGTAGAATCTGGAATCTAACTTAATTCAGGAAAGTCTTGTTTCTTCACTTATTTTATTTCCTTTTTTGTTTAGAATGTCCCACAAGAGACAGCAAAATTGGGCAAAAATGTTTCTAAATGAATCTCAACATAGATTCTAAAGCATTCAAGCTCCATATGATTTGTAAGGGGTTCAGCTGTTTAAGTCACACTGTGACAGATGCTGTTGCAGCTGGTGACGCAGAAGCACAAATATCGTTTCATTTCTATTTGTATTTTTTTCCCATTTGATTGCTTTCCATTCTGTTTGCATCCCCTGAAATAGTTATTCTACAGTACAGTGAGGCAGTGATAGTGTGTTTTTTTTTCTTTTTTTTGTATTTGTTCCCCCTGGATGGTGCTTGAAAGAATGTTGATTGCATAAACAAGTGGTTTTCAGTCCAGGTCCTCAAGGTCTAATATCCTTCTTGTTTTAGATGCACCTTTGCTGCAGCACAGCTTATTCCAGTAATTACATTACCTTAGTGTGCCACCAAGTGCTGCTGATGTCTTTTAATCACCTATTAATTTAAATCAAGTGTGAAGATGCAGAGCAGCATCTAAGAATGCAGGATTGAGGCAGAAAGAGCAGAATGAGCTTATCATTTATTTGTCTCCCCAGACATAACTCTCACTGGAAGTAGAAGGTTATGTTACTCCAGGAAGCACTATTGGGACTTGAAAATCATTGTAAAGTAATGTGCTGACCAGACTAAGCAATTCCAGTCTCACCTGGTTCACAAATCACTTTCATCTGTCTCACTGTTGCCAGATTCTCCAAATTCACATCTGCAGCAGTTCTACACAAGTAAGCTCCTAAGAAGTAGAAATTAGACAAATAAAACCCCCTCCAACTAAATGTTTTTTTTGGGGGGGAGGTTTTCTTAACAAGATACTATTTGCGATGTCATCAGAGGCATGCAAGTAGAAGCTTGTTTTTTTTTTTTTTGTAAATAACTTATTTTTAACCTGAATGTGATGTATTGTTTTACATGGGACACACAATATTAAACGTGAGTTTGATTCTTTTATGAAGAATATCTGGAAGCTAAATGTGTAAGTTTTAAAATCTCTAAAATCTATCACTTTTATTACTTACATAGCACTTAAATATACCAAAACAGCTGCTTATCCAAAAGTAAAATAAATTAAAAAAAACATTTGAACTATATATTTTTTTTGCTGGCTGTTTAACTAGAATAGCCAGCAGTTGTCAACGGGTTCCAAGCCCTACCCAGTAAGTCCATTCCTGGCCACACCATTCCCAGTGCACTTTGCTCCCCACATCCCACCAAAACAGCACCTGAAGGTACTTCAGTTTGTGTGACATCACCTCTATAGTTGCCTGTAAAATAAAAAAAAAATTGAAGTTATGTACAGACATCAAACTGGGTCCTCTCCTGAGGAGTTCAGGTCTGAGTGATGTATTAGCTCTCCTGATAACTCCTCTTCTTTCTTTAAGCCACAAAAGCTGCTTTCGTGTTGTTTGGTTAGCTATGCTGTAACCCCCCATGTCCACGGCTGCATCACATAGCAGCCAAACACAAACGAACAAACAAAGGTGGTTGCTAAACAACCTCAGTAGGCATCCTCCCAGATGAGCAGCGCAGCCTCTGGTCTTGAGGACCCCTAGCTGTGCCATGGGCTGGCTATGCCCTGCCTGCAGAGAAGTGTGACAGAGGGACCTGTCAGCTCTGATGCCTTGCCCAAGAACACGCTGTCACCGTGGCATAATAGAAGCAGACTGAGTGGCCCCTGGCCTGCACAAACACCACGGCCCCTGCTGAACAATTAGAAAGAGCTTTCCAACAAAGAGGGGCCAACAAAAAATCCATGTTAAATTAGGCATTTAATTCAACACTTGGTCACAAGGGCAAAATAATCAGAGGGAAATCCGATAAAAAAAAAAAAAAAAAAAACATCATGAAAACAAGAAGAGACATAGCATCATGAGCCTGACAGAGGTGAGCTAGGTGAACACAGAGATTCAAAGAGAGGTTAATAAACGAAACCCTTTTTTTGCAGCAGCAAACAAAAGTCCAAAATCTGATCTGAACTTTCAACTGGAAACACGGATATGAGGAGAAGGATAATTGCATTTGTCACGGATCTAAGGCTTAAAATTCCTCTGTGCACATCAGAGAGTGAAGCTGGATTTTCAAAATGTCCACGCTTGCTCCAGTCGCTCACTGCTCTCTGTGAAATTAAAAGCACAATTTAAAAGAACAGAGAAGCCAGCAGCACCAACCACACTGAGGCAGCACAATAAACTGAGACATTTCTATTGTCTCAGTTTACTGTAACAGTCATTAGTCTAGTTTAAATAAAGTTCATGTCCACAACTCTGTGAATATGACATCAATACATTTTATTTAATTAAAGCACACATTACACCTTTCAAAGGAGTTTTAGACTGTATAAAGACGAGGATATTCAACTTAATTTTCATGGCATTCTTAGCTGAAATACCTAACAAACTCTTAAAAAGAATAATAAATACCATTCGAATTAGAAATCAATATTTATGTATTGTTATATAAAAAAAATAAATAAGCCAAGCCTGAATAACCAATAAAAAAACATAAACAGCAACCATGCAAAAGGTACTGGCAAACTACACAGTGTTTATTGGATGAAAGTTATATTCATTGTTAAACTGGAACCTAATCTTCCATCGGAAAACGAAATCCAAAGTCAGTCAGGTGTCTGTTTAATTCTTAACAGCTTGTTGGTCTAATAGGGATTTTGAAGAATGGTAAACATGTTTAGAAGAGGAAAATCAAAATGAGTCAAAGTTTTGGAAGTTGTTTAGACATCCTGCAAATTGAGAAAGAGCTTAAGGAACAGAACGGCACAGAGCGTGCCGTTCTGTTTATTTCATTGGAACTGTGTGTTTTTGCTCTGTGGTTCCTCTGCCTTTGCTCCTCTAGCTGGAAGGAAAGTTAGTTGAGCTCTTAGGAAGGACTGGTCTGCCAGGATGTCACCCTTTTAAAGCCAACCAAGCTGGACGCCATGTGACTTGGTTTGGGAGGTCTGGAGGTCCATCATTTTGATTTGGCGAAACTTTTTTGACAGTTTGAACATTTATAAAGCGATTACAGATCTTTAATCAAAATTAAGCAAGTTAGCGTAGTGCATTTTCTGCGCCCCCCCCTCCCCCCCCTATGGATTACAAATGGCTGTCTGGTTGAAACGACGCGTGTGACGGGGGGCCAAAATGAATGTACGCAGCTGAAAATAGACACCAACATCGGTAGCCTACAAGGTACTTGTTAAGCTTGTTAAGCTTAAGGTTCTGTATTGATATTAGCTAGTCATCTTTTAGCCAACATTACCTGCACCCAACAGCTTTACTCAACTCAGTCGGTTAGTTTGGAGAGGAAAAACTGAGAAAAGTTCTTTGCGTTTTGCTGGTTTGCTGCCGTGATTCTAACACAGCTGTAGCTCCGCCCAGCAGCAGCAGGTCTCCTTCACAGGAGTAAACCCACCGCGAGCGTCGTAGCGCTCATGTTGCGTTTAAAGGCGGCTCGGAAAAACAGGTTACACCATGTTAACAACGGATTAAACAGTTTTAACTGCTGATAAAAGTGACACAGATATGGGAAGTGTGGAAGCCTCTACTGTATCAAATTGACATAGGAATAACAGAGAGTTGGGTAAAAACCCAGCGCATACAGTGTTCATGTTTTGTTTTGTTTTGTCATCCAGACGGCTTCCCGCGCCCCCCCTGCAATGACACGGCGCCCCCCTTAGGGGGCGCAGCCCCACAGTTTGGGAACCTCTGGCGTAGTGGATGATGTTACGCAAACAATTATTGCAACCACCGTCCACAGGATAATGAGTCCTGGGTTTAATGGTTTGGATCTGAAGTTTTTCTCTGATAAAAGCTTTAATATCTCTGAACTTAATTCTTAATATTGCACTCACTCTTTCACCTGGACCACACCAGTCAGGGATCAACCAATCAGCAGCCACGTTAAGATATTTTATCCAGCCAATGAGATAAGGAGAGGCTTCTGTAGTCCACTTAGCAATAGATAATTGACAAAATAAAAATATTAAACATTCTTGATTTGCACAAAAAAGATATTTTCAACACAGAAAATAACTTCACAGCATAAAACTTTCACAAACCATGCTGGATAATTACTGTTTTAAATAAGAAAGAATAACATAGACAACCTTTACGGTCTTGTGTTTTTACTTTTTACTATGAAAGTCTAATTTAGTTACAAGTGGATTCAAATAAACATAAAAAAACAACAGAATGGCAGTTTTGAAACATCAGTAATGAAAGAGATTAACTTTGAGAAAGATTGTTCCTTTAAAATTTAAGTGGTCATTGAAAGATTAATTAAATTTAAGTGAATCATTACTGTTCAAAGAAAACTAAACTAAAAACTAAATTAAAACCTTAAAATGCTGCATTCTTTACCAGCTGATATTGGAAATATCTGGAACCTGACATTTGTAATCTCCTAATACCTGTTACATCACTGTGACACGTATCAAGATGCCACCACAAGGCTTGCATTTTGCTGTAGGGCTCAACATCTCTACAATAAAAATACAATATATGACCTAATATTAAAATGTGCCATCAGTTAAACAATATGGCATGGACTCTTTTAAAATGTTTGAAACCATAATTAAAAAAACAACAACTCTTAATTTGTAGTTGTGGTTGCTTTATGGTTTAATTAAAGCTCTAAGGTATTACACAGGATTTAAGTAGAAAGGAGAGCAGCTCCGGCAGAGCTTGTTCAACACGGGATAATTACAACAGAGGGAAAACCTCGGCAGAGTCAAAGGAATTCTGTCTGATGTATTCAAGAGTGAAGGGATTGCTCGTAATCCTTAAATAAATTCTAATTGCAGTGAGATGTTTAACATAAGAGAGCCTCCGATTTCTGTTTATTCAAGTCCAAGTGAGTTGGACGTTTTGAGTAGATTACCCTAAAAATGATCAAAAGGAAGAATAGGGAGGTCACGGGGGAGCACACACTGCCACAAAATGCCAGATTACACCGAGGAAGTCACAAAATGCAGAACAGGTGATTTCTTTGACGTGACAGACATGCCGTCAGATACACACTACTAGTACACTCTGAACATTTAAGTTACTACCACACATTTCTCTGTTTTTATAGGGACTTTCATTGCTGTGCATACCTGGTTTCCAAAAAAAAAAATATTCATAGTAAATAACATGAGAAAACACTTTTCACTGCATGTACAGCTTCATGCCTTTCCCTCCTAAAGAAAACATTGCCACTGTATGATGCTGCCACTTCCATGGTGGTGTGTTCAGTGCAAGTTGTAGTTTTCTGCCACACGTTGTACTTTGTGGGACAAAATAAGGTTCAATTTTGGTTACATCTGACCAGAACATATTCTCCTAAACATTGGTGAGCTTCTACGTGGCTTATGGCAAACTGCATATGGAACTTGTAATGTTTTCTTTCTTTTCACCACTCTGTCATAAAGGCCAGATTTATAGGATGAAAAACTAATAGTTGTCTTGGCAACATATTTTCCCACCTAAGCTAGAGATGAGTATATATATATATATATATATATATATATATATATATATATATATATATATATATATATATATATATATATATATATATATACACACACATATATATACATACATATATATATATAAATGCCACACATTTCAGGTTATTATTTGTAAAACATTTTGAAATCTGTGTATCCATGATTATACACCACCTCAAGTCTTTCACAGGAATTTTGAAAATAACACTATACATTGATGTTTATAGCAGTAACTAACAAAATGAAGGCACATAAATGCCTTTCCATGACACTTTTTGTCTATTGCAAGAAGAAAAAAAGAGGAAGAAAAAGAGATCCAACTTGATTGCCAGTCAGGAATGCATGTTTCCTATATCCTTTGGCAAAAACGAACACTCCTGCCCTCATGTCTCACTTGTCAAGTCACGTTGAGGTATTTATAGATTTGATTTCTTAGCTTTATTCCTGTATTGTCTCCTGCTTGTCTTTGTTTTAAATGCCTAGCTTAATGCACAAAAACTTTTATCCCACAGCTTTATTTACACTGTCATGTTGGCCAGCCAGCAACTAACTGTTTGTTTACTATTTGTAGGTTTTCTTTGCAAATTTCTTTCAGGTAAATTACTGATCACATGTTTAGGATATTACCTCTAAATGTTTGGGTTGCATCTCTCAGTTAAGGTATAAGAAAAAAAGTGTTAAAAAAAATCTTTGCATACGTCTGAGTGATTGAAGAAAAGCAATAGTAAAAGTGTGAAGTCGGTAAACTGTACCTTTCAGCTGTTAAACAGAGACAAATCTGTCTGCAGCTTTCAATACTCCACCAGAAAAGCACAGAGCAGAACTCTGAGGACAGAGACAGAGAGATGCATGAAAATGGATGTGTGGAGGAATGGAGGGACAGAAGAAAGGATGTGCTTCCTGCAAAATAATTAATAAATTTAATTTGTTTTGTTTATTTTACCTATTCACGTTTGCTTTCTTATGCTTTAATGTGTCAATAAATTGGTTGTTCATACATTAGTTTGATCTCTTTTAGTGCTGTTAAATGCTGATAAACGTTTCAAACAACGTTTACATCCAATAAATTGTGATATAACCTGAATCTTTATTATCGAACAATAAAAATGACACATCTTTGTAAGTCTAAATATTTATATGTGTGTGTGTGTGTGTGTGTGTTTTGTTTCATCATTACAGAAGTCAAAACCTGCTTTATGCTTCTTAGGCCCTGGAGCTGGAAAGAATTGAGCCAAGGAATGTAAAGAATGAGTCTCTTGCTTTTGTCCTGGTTTTGATTCCATCTCCAGTCTGTATTTTAAAGTTTAATACAAGTATGGGCTTATCATTTTATGTTTGCGTCGACAAAAGTTATAGTTTCATTTTTTACATCTTAATTATTAACTTGATATTTCACATTGTGTTTAGCTGAGTATGAGAAACTGAACAACAATAGTTTAGTGTATTAAAATTGTAAGAGACTATAAAAATTAAATTTGCTTACCTTAGATTAGAATCTTATTGTAACTATTTATGCTTTTAGACTTACTTTCACACTTACAGTGAGGCGGTGTGCTGTAACACCTATACAAACTTCTAATCATCATGTCATTTATTCTTTAATGAGAAAATATATATATATTTCAGCTCATTATGCAATTGACCAGGGAAACCATTTGCACATTTTCGACTTGCAGTTAAATATGATGCAGTATGAATCTTGAAGGTGGGTGAACTAAGGAATTAAAGGGGAGAAGCGTCACATTCTGTCAGAAATCGTTTCCTTTTTATGTACAACAAAATTTGTATGAGAAAACGGGCATTAAATAAAGTAAACTTTCACAAACTGTAAAATACAATGAAGGAAACAATGTCAGGGTCTTTCTCGTGGAAGCTTAATATCAATGTTTTAACATGAATGTGTCCACTAAACAAACAGATAAGACATTTCTATTGCAGTTGCTGGTTAGACTTATGTGAAAAGGATGTTTTATTTTCCATCTCTTTCTAATATCACTGCAGCTTTAACAAAAAAGGAATCCTTATTTTCCATCAGATATGAAGCTGACGAGGTCAGTTGCATTCAGATTTAGTAAAGCACAACAAAAGTAATTGAGAAAAAAAAAAAAAAAAACACTGTATAATATGGCCATTTAACCAAAAATTGACCAAATCAAATGAGTGAAGAAACTTTAAAAGATCTGACTTTTCCAACTGGTTCCTGTCTGCCTGCAAACGAGACTCTCGATTTAGTGAGGAAACGCTTCTACTTTTGCGTCTTTTCTAGATAAAGATGGGCAGACATTGTCAGGGATGGCCCTCGAGGCAGATTGATCTGATCATGTCAAAGGTCTTAAAGCTGCTTCTTGTGATCATCGGCAGCATTGATGCCTCAGCAGTCTCTCTCAACAGACGGATCATTCTGCAGCAGCTGCTCTGTCCTGCAGGGTCACAACCTGCGCAGGACAGAGAAGAGCCTGAAGGCTCTCAATCACTCAGCAGGAAAAATCCCATCCATCTGACTGAACGTGGCGCCTTCCTCCATGTTGGAGAATTTAACCGATGGGTGATTCGCGTTTCTCCTTTTCACATCAATACGTGTTTATTGCAGTGGCATATTCAGTGTTGCTGCTGCAAAAAGCGTGCAGAGTTGACGATCAATGCAACAGAAGAAGAAAGAAGTGGGAAGAAGAAAAAGATGAAAGGAGTCATCCAGAGGCATTTCTTTGGAAAGCCTTAACCTGCCCCTGCCTTAAGCTGTTCCACTAAAGAGAGCTTTGATGGGCCGACGCGGCAGCTTGTAATGAATATCATCAACATCTTCACACCTCCTCCTTCACACCACAGAAACGACACAATGACAATATTGCCAGATGCCCTGCAGTACAAATCCAGCTCCGACAGAAGCCGTCCCTCAGATATGATGCAATGAAGTTCACTTTAACATAAAACAAGAGCAAAAGCATTTGTAACGCAGTGCGTTTTAAAGAAAACACGTCAGAGACGTCTACAGAGATTTTCACGTTTTCTGGCGGCGCGCTAAAATCCCACAGCTAACATCGATTCATCTCACCCTCCTCTCTTGGATTTTATTTGATGCAACAGTTGCAGATGTAATAATTTGACTCCATTTTATCCTGACCTGACAGCACATTCATCACCGCACTTCTTCCTCTGTTTACACGAGGGATTTTGGCAGATCGGGTCGTTTTTCACTCCATCAGGATGAGGAGAGCGCCGTTACTCATTTTACCCAGCAGCTGTTGCACAGGGATAGCCCCTCGTCTCACTGACCCGTCAGAGAGGATGACCTCTTCACTTGAGATCTTCATTCCCAGGTCATTCGTCTCCACTGACACGTTTAACGGCTATCGAAGAGGCTGAGAAAGACGCTTTTAAGTTTTTATGTTGCTTTTATTGGGTTTTGCTTTAAATGAACAAAATTCACTTTTCTTTGAAACTTTAAGGCGTTATTTTTGATTTATTTTTATTTTTTATTTGGACTATGACTTGGCCATTCCAAATCATTTGGAGTCAGCCTGATATGGACTTGCTTTGACTCAGTGTCCTGATGTGTGTCCCAAGAGCATTTAAGCTTAAAGTCGCAAACTAATGGCAGGATTTTCCCCCTTGGTATTTTCTGACATGTCTCCATCAATTACATCAAATTGCCCAGGTACTAAAGCAACTCTATGTTGACTGTAGTCATGATCTTCTTTTTTATATAATGCAGAGTTAGTTTTACACCATATATGAGACACACCTTTTTCATTAAATTCCACTTTTATCTTGAAATATTACAAAGTGTCGGCAGCAGAATCGTAGCTGCATTTTGGTTTCACTCTAATTTTAAAATCCTCTGTTACGTATTAATTACATATGAACTCAAGTGCTGCCACAAACGTAAGTTGTTTTTCGTCTATGTTGCTTGTTGAATCAGATAGACCTCAGGCGATGTATTCCTATAACAAAAGTGACTTGTTCCGTGAGAGGCATAATTAAAGGGAGCAAGGCAGGAAGATTACATATAGGTTTTATGGGCACCTCCAAATGACTCAGGAGCGCACTGTTGCACCAGCTGCTTAAAATATCCACCATTGTCACAAAACGTTCAAAGTCCTTTTCTATGCTGAAGCACACCCACCTTTCCCTCTTCCTGCCTCCACTGGAAATGCTACAGAAGTTGCATCGAAAACAGATTGACAGTTTTTCATCAAAGTTAAAAACAAAACGAGGTCAGTCTGGCTGCTGTCAGAGCAAATGAAGCCACAACAGCCCTCAAACGTCAGGAACATCAGGCATACTAGATTAGCGCTAAAGAATTGGGCAATAACTTCCAACACATGACATCTCGCACTTTGCATCATATATGAAACTTCAAAGGTAGAAATACGGTATTTATTGATGGGGCCATAATTCAATCCTCCTCTAAAGCAGGTCGTATTTCATTGGATGGAGCAGAGAGAATAGAAACCAGATGATCTGGAGGTGTGGGCCTCAACCCGAGCAGAGCTTTCACTTTTAGGCCTGGTGATTGCTGGGTCAGATCCTGATAGGAGTGAATCTGATCCTCCTTGGATCATGGGGTTTAGAGAAAAACAGTCTCTGAATTTTTGAAGTTTTGTTTCCAGTTTTCTTTTGTGTGTGTTTCATGTTTTTATCGCACAAGATGCTTTGAAATTAAAACATGTTTTTTTTTATTCCATTTCCTTTAAAGTAAAGATATACTAAGAAAATATTTCCTGTTCAAGTACTAAGTAGTTTTTTTTTGTTTTTTTTTAAGGTAAGTTTATGAAGTTTGCAGAACTTGAAGCAGTGCAGCTGCTTCTCATATAATAGCACATCATGACACCTTTACATCATCGAAACAGACTTTGCAAGGAGTTTTGTTTTATTTCCCGAACCCTCGAGCTTGGCCATTCCCTTCTGTCTGGGATTTTTCATACTGAGCTCAACCAAGCAGGAGATTCAATTGAAAATGGCATGCTACATGTTCCATAATTCATTTTGAAGTTTTATTTCATTTGAACCCTAAAACAGCAACATGTAGCTGTCGCACAGCAGCTAAATGCAGCTTCTATCATTTGGTAATTTTCTTAGCTGTTTTTATTTTTCATGTGGGTTGATTGTTGTGTCACACCAGCATAAATATGCTTCACTGAAAGTACCTACTTCGTAAGAAGTGAAAGAGACTGGAGTAGCAGACTTGTGTGAGGCATCTGTCCCGTCTCACTCTGCAAATGTTAAAGGGATTTCCACAAAGCAAACAATGGTTAGCCTCGCTATTTAGTGTGGAGAGCCACCGCAGCCAATAACTTCCCTCCCAAAAAATAGCTCAGCCTGTTGCTGATAACTCTCCAGTGTGTGTGCATGCGTGTGCGCGTGCATGTGTGTGTGTGTGTGTGTGCACTCTATATGACTTTGCACAGGCCCAGATAGCTGAGGCAGTGAATAATTCTTTGGCAGTAAACCAAACTGGATTTAGTTTGACTATGAGCAGAAGATTTTCTCCCAAAGGAGGGTATGGTGGTTTGACTATCAATTACAGTGGCTTGAGCCCTGCAATCTGAGCTCCTCACTGATTCAGCCATGCTATGCTGGGATGCTTGACTGGTATGTGTATTCTCCTGGGAAAAAGGGGAAAAAACATGTCTTGTCATTTTACTACCTGACAGTAGTTTTTTTTTTATGAAACAAATGGCATTCGTGAGCAGCTGCAGATTTTAAGGAGCTGAAAATTATTGGTGGGTTTTGATCAAACAGATCAATAAATATTTTTTGATTAAATTATTTTTTTATTGAGATTTATGGATGCAGCGTTTGCGTCAAAGAAGGAATTGAGGTGACCTTTAGCATAGTGGAAAAAAAACATACTGCAATAGTAGAATTGCGAAGAGGAATCATTTTGCAGC